AGGATTTATATACTGCGGAAACATTACTTAACCTCAGCTTTCCCTCCTCCCCCCCTTTTTTTTTTAACATGCATACAAAACATAATGCTGGCAGTTCAAAGTAGCTGAAAAAAAAAAAAATCAAGGAAAATCGACCTGTTTGGTTGAAGATGAGAATAGTACCTGTTAAGATATTGATGGATAGCGTTTCAGCAATGACCTGCAGGAAGTTTTACCTTAACGTACTCTTATTTTCTTGAGACCACCTGCCTTTCCCCTTCCTAGCTAGATTTTAGTAATATAATTTTATATCTTGTTCTTCTAGCAAATAAAAGCTACGGTTACTGGCAGGGAATGAGACTGCTTTATGCACATGCTGGAAGGATGGAAACAAGATGGGAAGGCAGGAAGGCTTCCACATGTGCTTTCACTCCCCCGTTGTGTATGTCTCCAAAAGCTGGAGCAAGTACCAAAAAGCACTGCTGGCCTGGCTTCAGCAACACTTACCTCACTATAAAATCCGAGCAGTCGTTTACAAGCTTTCTTACAGCCCACGTGGCCCTTGCACATTCCATCCATTTGGGAAGTCAGCATCTGCCTGCGGCCCTGAGCTCAGCATGGAGGCCTGAAAGGCTGGGTGACCTCAGAGAAATGTGTAACACACGTGGGAAATTTGTGTGAGAAAATATTAAAATGTTTTGCAGTGATTTACAGCTTTATTACAAATCTGTCATCATTCTAAAAAAGAAGTCTTCAAAAATGGGGTGGTATTAGAGCACGCAGTCAATCAGGTTCTAAATTCAGATGGGGCTTCCTCCTAATGCAATAAACTGACTTGATCATTTGAACGTAACATTTTTCCTTAAGTGTACATGGCAGTAGATGTATTAAGTACCACAGGCATCATTGAATGGTTTGGTTGGAAGGGACCTTCAAGACCATCCAGTTCCAACCCCCCCGCCGTGGGCAGGGACACCTCCCACCAGACCAGGTTGCTCACAGCCCCATCCAACCTGGCCTTGAACACTCCCAGGGATGGGGCAGCCACAGCTTCTCTGGGCAACCTGTACCACTGCCTCACCACCCTCACCAGGAAGAATTTCTTCAAAATATCTAATCTAAATCTTCCCTCTTCCAGTTTAAAGGCATTGCCCCTTGTCCTATCACTCCCTGCCCTTGTAAAAAGCCCCTCCCCAGCTTTCTTGTCAGCCCCTTTAGGTACTGGAAGGCAGCTCTAAGGTTTCCCCAGAGCCTTCTCTTTTATCATTGTTTGTGATTAAAAAGCTAAAAGCATTCATATATTAACGTGAGACTGGAGTGTGAATTATGTTCTGCATTTAAGTGTTTTAAATCATATTGGGTGGCATATATAATCTAAATTTTCTTGACACATTTTTAGGCTGACAGGAACGCCGCAGCATTCAAAGTCAGGACATTGCCTATGTGTTGGGTTACACTGCTATAAGAGATGGGTTCAATCAAAATTATTTACGGACATAAATGAATTCAAGAGTTCTTGTCATCTTCATTATTTATATAGGAAAACACTTAAATGCAAAATTCAAGGAAACAACATGTTAAGCTAGGTATATTTATCTTTTTAGGCAAACTGACCTCAAAGTCTATGGTACAGTTTTGAAAACCAAGTGCACTGCACTAGACAGCACTGGAACCACCAGAGATACAAAAGTCTGGCCCACGCTATAGTTATCAGCATTGCAGGGAATTCAGACAGAAGTGACGTGGTTGTAATCCCCTTTCGATTCAAAAAGGTTTAGAGCAGACCAGTCTCCTTACCGATTACCCCCAAACCTTCAGATCACTGTCTTTCCAAAGCAACGCTCTGCTGAACAGTCACCCTACTACAGCCTTTGAAAATGACGGCTCCACACTGGGATGTCTGTAGCTTCTTCTTCAGAAAGTCCCAGAGGCCTTGCACAGTGTTTACACCCAGCTGATGCGGCAGCACGTACAGCTTCCACTCCCAGTTTTGCCACTGTTGCCTGACTACATCCTGCACAAGCTACAGCATCCCCGAGAAACTACCTCCACCGAGCTCTCACAATTGTGAATCCAATTCCTTTATTGTCCCATGTCACCACAGCTACTGCATTGCCAGGCATTTTCTTTAGCTAATAAATTCGAAAGTAAAAACGGTAGTGACATGCCATAAAAAGAAAAAGAGCCAATGATGCATATAATTTTTATACAGTACAACAGATCATTATTATTTCATCCCTTTCCTAACCCTTACACTTCACACAATAACCACTCAGCAAGCATGCCAGAATCTGAAAGCAACAAAACACTTCAGACACAACGGACATGGGAGAGAAGCAGGGAGGCAGCTTTAAAAAAAAAAAAAAAAAAAAGCATTTTGGTTGAACAATGCAAGTCCTGTCCAAAGATCCAGCCCGCCATACACACTGTACAGCCTGTCCTCTGATTGTGCTCTCAGCGAACAGCCCTCTCCGCGCAGTCCCAGCTCCCTTCCCAGCCCTCCTACCAGTGCCACCGGGCTACAGGGTTCTCCTGCGTCAGCTCCTTCCTGACTCTCACTGCTCCCGTGAACAGCCAGTGTCTTCTGCCTCTTGTTTCCACCTCCGGCAGCTGAGGCTGGATCCATCCACACAGCTGATTCTCCTTCCTCGAGTACCACACCACAGCTGCAAAGGTTGTGAAACATTCTGTCCTCCGTTCCTTCTGTTCACACCAGAAGAAACTGTCTGGATTATAATTGTTTCACCCTGAGAAATGACATTTCTTAGGACAACTACTTAGCCATCACCTTCCTGAAACAGGGTTAAGTAGGTTTAACAAAGAACAAGCACTGTGAAAGGGTTTAATATAAGAATTTGAAATACACCTTTTGTAAAACTTTCAAACTTACAGTTTGTTTGGCTTGAACATACCCCCCCCCCCCCCCAAGTTAGACTTAAGAAGGAGCTTTATAGAAACTTCAGAACTAATTTGTATTTAACAACAGATACTATCCAGCTACTGTAAATGCACTTAGGACTCTTACAGTCTGCTCTTTGCACAAACCATAGGAAAGCTGGGTTAAGGTTTGTTTGGAAAGGTTGTACGTGCCAAGCGGAAGGGCATGCAACTTTTGAAACGTAATGACTCAAGCAGCGTTGCAAGTATGAAGAACTAGGTATGATTCTTCACTGTTAGATTACATCTTTTAAAGTTGTGCACAAGCTATTACTAAATTGGCACAGCCATGTTTTATTTTGCTGAGCTACCATTAAGACAACCAGAAGGGCATACACAAACCGTGGTTCTTTCTGCTGCCCATCAGAATGATAGACAAGTCAAACTGGACATCTTTTGGAGCTACCATACCATAGGCAGTCTGCAGGTGGTACATCAAATGCATTAGAAACTTTATACAGGGATTTTGTAGCTGATTGGTTGCCCTTAAACTAAAGGCCGCTGAGATTATTTTTTTTTTCTTCATACATTACCGTGAGAACTTTTGGGGCAGCACTCATCCTTCTCTTCAACGAGCTCTTGAGCCATGACTCATTTGGCAATACTTCCATCTTCATAAAAACAATAGCTACTGTATCCTTAAGAGACCAACTAATAATCACACATTGTTCTGTGCCGATACACGATTACTAAACCCACACAGATTATTTATGTCTGATGTCTTTCACTCCAAGGCTTCCCTGAACACAAACTGTACCAGGGGAAGCCAATGAAAACCCAGTCAGCATTGTCTTGCTGACTCCTGATTAAGAATTAACGTGCTCATTACTGATCAGTCATTACTAATGACAGGTTTATAGACAATTGTTTCCAGCTCCCTCAGCTTCTCACAGCAAGACGACACGGGCAGCAGCCTCTCCCTGCACACCTTGCCCTGCAGGCAAGATGGGGCAGGACCCCACAGCCTCCCCCCCAGCTTCTATGCTGGCTGGCAGGACATGGTGGAGAAAGAGCAGCAGGGTTATAGCCTGGGGGTGACCAATCCCCCCCCCCTCACTCCCGGCCCCCGCCCCCCAGCCTGGGGCCGTCCCACTGCCCTGCCCTACCCCCAGGCTGCCTCTGCTGCCACCCAGCTCCACCTTCAGGTGCTGGGATCTTTCCAGATCAAGCATTTGAAATGCAATAACCAGCATTTGACAGGAGAAAGCAAATTTAGTGCTCTCCGTGTCACTGCTTCCTCCACTTGTGATTTTTGCTTGGATGACTTGCTTTGGTTGCCATGATAATTATGTATTTCAGTCCTATCCTGCAACAGTATTCAACATTTACGCTACTACATGGAGAGCACTTAATCCAGGTTTTTAATAAGGAAACTTCTGGCTGTGCAATAAATAAACTGGAAGTTCCGAGGAATAGTTTGCTATATCAGTTCTGCAGTTTATTTTTTCATTATATAGTCCAAATATCACACATTCTAGCTATAAACTTAGCTGCAGAAAGTGAAAATGTATTTTCAAACATTATAGATTTTTAGTATCAGAATACACCAGTTGGATGAATACAAATCAGTAAGTAATCACTTATTGACATGAACATTAATAAAGCCCACTGATTAAGTTTTCCTATTAATGGTATATCACTGCTATTTTCATTTTCATCTCTAATTCCATTTTGTACTGATAGTAAGGAATCTCTAGACACAAGTGATTCTGTTCCAGCCTTACTAGCCCCCCTCCAAAACTGCTCATACCATAGCTCTAAGAGCCACTCCCTCCCCCTTTAAGACAGCCTGTACAGCCTCAAGAAGCAACTATGGTCTCTAGAAAGACACCTACTGCGCTGAGAAAGTGTAAGGCATCTGCTTCCTCATCCCAACTCCATGTCAGAGATCTGTTATGGAGGGAGTGAGAGAAAGGCTAGCATTGATTTCATTAAGAATAAATTCAGGTAAACAAGGTCAGGCACCTCTACATTAGGGTAACAACAAATTAGCCTGTATCATCCGGGCTGGAACACCCACAAATCAGATTTTGGGCTACACAGTCAGCTGTGAGCTGGCTAATGGAGACTGTTGGGAAGTGTACCCTAGCATAGATTTAACACCAGAGTGGACAGGAGGAGACTGCTCTGGCTAAATGCCCTACCAGGGGACAGGATAATCCACGGCCATGTTACCACTTGCACAGGTCCATACACATAAGCTTACCAGGTTTGAACAGTTTTGTTACTAACAAACTGGCCATGAGGACCATCGGCATCTGAAGGCAAAAGCGCTAAATAAACTGGGGTCTCAGCCCCTTCATCTGGCGATTTAGTGGCTTTAGGACCTGCCATGTCTGTTCTCACCCATCCAGGACAGCAGGCATTGAGAAGGATGTGGTCACCTTTTCTCTTCTCATTTAACATCCGGGCTTGAATCCTGGACAAGACTGTGACACCGATTTTGGATACCCCATAGGCAGTATTTGGCCAACCCTCTTTCTCATGCACGCTTTTCTTGGTATCTTCCACAAATTTGGTCATGAGTTCCACTAACTCCTCCTCAGTGATCGTGTCGCTGCGAAACTTTTTCTGTAGTTCTTGGCTGCAGTTTCCCAGAGCGGAGCTACTTACCATACTAGAGACATTCACCACTCTACCTGATAAAAGAATAAAAACTGATTACTTTCACATGTATTAAACAAGCCCAGACACTGAAGTGGGCTTGCTCTACAGTTATGTATTCACTACTTAAGTGAATACCTGTAAAATATTTTGTGGGAAGATCACAGTTAACTCAGTGTCAAGTGTTTCTAGTGAATTCCATTACAGAGGGTAATTTAAGGTGTGAACTCCAAGTATGCTTAAGGAAATGGCCTGTTACAATCTGTAGGCCTACTCCTAGTAGTCAGTGGTTTTATCAGTAATGGCAACCAGACTTCACTCTCAAAGTTCTGGAAAACATTCTCACTTCTGCAACAGCTCAAGTAAAGTGCTGTGAGAATGTACCTCAAAACCCAGAATAATACAGAATTCAACAAAAACAATCTAATTCTTAATGCAGTGAGACCATCAGCTTTTTTACGGATTAGCTGAAGACTGACAAATCCCAGCACTCAAAACCACAGTAAGCTATTTATCTCCCAGCATTTCAGTACCGACGAATGAGTCAGCTGAATCAGTAATTCACTCACCTTCTCCAAAATTATGTTACACTGTTTCCCTCTTTCTTGCTAGTTCACAGCCATTCAGGCCATGAACTAGGGAAAAAAACATGAGGATTTAGATCTTAAAAGCCACAGAAATTAATCCTTTCTTTTAATGACTTCATTAACACACTTGGTCTTCATCCTTAGAAGGGCTAGATTCCAATTTCGGCACTGTTCGTTTACTCTCTCCCCTAAATTCAGTTACTCTGTCCTTTCCTTCCTCCCTACGGACTAACAGTTGCCAACTTCTCTCCTCTACTTGACTTCTCTTAAAAACCGAGATGTATTTAAATATTAGTATAGACTACATGTCATTTATAGCAGGAAGCACTTATCCAAATAGCCATGAAAACCACAAGTCTCGAAGAGACCCCTTAGATTTGGTGTGGGTATTAGATCCGAATACTCCCCTTTCAGATCAGCTATGATATGTCACTAGGGTTCTAGGGCACTTCCAGTGCTCCAGGTTTCAAGAACAGAAGCATTCTGTGCAGGACAGTCATCCAACACGTAGAGATTATTTGCATATTGCTAACACCTCTCTATTATCAATGCATCTATCTTCTTTGACCCCAGTCCATTCTATTTAACATTTGTGGTAAAGTGTTTTCTTCCAGTTCTTCCCAACATCACCAAATCACAATAACTTAATGTACATCTTCAACTGCCATTTATAACTACATCACTAGACACTTGCAAATACAGCAAAGGCTGTCATCTAGATAGAGACAGACTAACAGCCTACTGAGGTGGTTTCTTCAGCAGTAGCAAGAACAGGCATGTCACATCAAACTCAGCTGATACCTAAAAATAGTGTATTTCCTTACCCTAGTTGTATCATCAAAATATCCTTTCTGGAGCAAGAACAATTTATGTAGGCAGATGCCATGGACAGAACATGAGGACATTCTCTATGTCTTTTTGAGGGCACCACAAGAATTCCACTTCAATCCATAACAGAAGAATGTGACCAGCTTGAAAGTAGATTTAAATATACACAGCAGAGGCATTTTGGAAGTCAAGAAAGGCCATCTGTTCTCTTACCTAGCATACAGCAACGTACACTCCTCTTGCTATGGGGCTGTGTGCATCTGAGCTTGGACAGGATTCTCCCATTTAATGAGGACCAAAATTCATATAAAACTATTTCTCTACTTGTTACGTTACACTTACCATAAGGCTTCATAAGAGGCAGTAATTCTGTGCAAACATTCCTGGTTCCAAAAAAGTTTGTCTTCAGTGTAACCTCTGCTTGGATTACAAATGGAGTTGTGTCATGAACTTTTCATAAGAGGTGGTAGCGAGGAAGGGAGATAAGGGGAAAAAAAAAAAAAAAAATCAATCAGAATTGTACTACTGTTTGAAAGGAAGTTACCAAACTACCAAACCCAAGTAGTTTATCTTAGTTCTTTTTGGTGTTTTTTTTTTTTTTAAATTGGGAAACAGACATATGATCAGTTAAAATATGTAAGAAGAAAATAAAGCAACATCATTAACACTCACATTATTATGAGTGTTATTAATGAAAAGACCTAGCTCTGCAATACTGTATTAATAATGAACTAATTATGTTTTCACCTCTGCTTAGCTGAAGGCTTTGGCTTTGCCCCAGGAGAGCCAGCTGTATCACTCTACAGAGTCATTTGCCAACCCTCAGGCCATTCATCTTCTGCCTTTTTTATGGACCAAAGAAAAACTGCTCTCACAGGATGTGCTGCCCAGCCTGCCCACTGGCCTGCCTGTACCTACTCACACCCAGCGCACAGTCTGCGCTGGCACTACCACAGGTAAACTTTGCTCTCTCCTCCGAAATGCACAGCACAGCACTTTGCCACCATCCTGACATACCAAGGAAGGGGAGGGAGCAGAAGGGAAGATCCTGAATCTAGTATGCTGCCACTGTAGGTCCAAAAGTTAAGACCTCCTGAACTGACAGATCTGTGCTAACACACGCAAAAGAGTGGGAATTAGCAGCTAGGAGAGGGAGCTGACTTAAGTAAGCACAATCAGGCCATGGAACCGCACTGTAAGGGTACGATTCCATCAGCCAGAACTGACCGCTTGCCACCACCAGAAGTGGGGTAGCATGTGCCATCAGCTGACAATTTGGCTCAGCAATAAGCCATATGTTTTGTATCCTCCACTTTGAGGGGGAAGTAAGAATTAAAGTAACAGCGTTCCTCCTCTTCTGCTACAGGCTCTATATCTGCAGTGATGAAGGCCACCTACTCCTTCACTTGTCTCCATAGCCCAGACCTACGTTAACGCAAAAGTGAAGCAGTAACAGGTCATTTAGTATTTAATGTAGTTGTGTTTTTACTGCAAAACACAGCTTTAATGACTCATTTATACCCTCAAGCAATGGGCACCGATGGCATCAAGTTTTGCAAATCACTTGCAATAGGTCATGATCTGGCTTCATGTCTCAGACTTAAATGCAAGCAAGAGTTACGACAGCGGAAGAAACTAACAACCTACACAACTCCAAACTCCTGTTTCCATACCTACCTTGCAATAGAGAAGCCTCCCTACACTCCAAAACCCACTCATTCATCTAACAAGATATATTGCTTGTAACCTCTAATAGATACACACTCCCTTGGTGTAAAAAGCATTACTACAACAGCTGTTCTCACAGGAGCTCATCCAGAAGGCAACCCACAGGTACATAATCATTTCATACAGGAACAGTTTTTGCTGGACTACCTGTAGTGCAGCACAAAACCAGAACAACACATTAAATTTAATGGCAAATCTAATATTTGACAGACAGCAATAACACCGAATACTACAGTAAAGGAAAGCATAAATTCTGGGATGGTAGCAGAAACCTGGCTAGGCAAGAAGCAAGCTTGGGTAGAAATGCCAATCTCAGAAGCAAGAATTAAAACCAAAATATGAGATAAGCATCACAGCAAGTTCTTATGCAGGTGTTAAACCCTCTAGCATCTGTGTTAGATACTTAAACAAGAACAGTTACAACTGGCTCCTTTATCACATTTCTTAATTGTATGACCTCCCGCTGACTAACTGTAAGTTGTCAGCTTGAAGAAAGGCTAGGCTAAATATCTGGAAGCAACTTCTGAATAGAAAAAAAATCTGTGACGTAGTAAAGGAAGTAACAGAACCTCCACTGCTCATGCTGTTTTACCTATTTATCTATCTGTTCAGTGGCTATACAATAGTAAGTCTAAGATATCTCTCACAGATGAGCTCTAGCAAATCTTGCCACAGCAATTTGAGGAGTTTTTATTTCACCTGTCCAGATATCCACCTTGATGGAGGCTACAGCCGCTGCACTGTCAGCAACAGGAAATGCATGCTGCACTTCAGCTGCTGTAGTTGCAGCCCAGTCTTGCTCAAACTGACTGTCACTAGTAGGCTGAGCTAAGGCCCTGCTTATGAATTGAAGCAACGCTGGTCTGAGCACTGGCAGGCTTTATAGATGATATGCATGGACAGGGAGAGGATCTTTTAACTGCTGCTGCGAGGTTTTAGCACCTCTCTATCTTGAGCACATCCTGAAGCTCAGACAGTTACATTAACTGCTGGCTCTTAAGCTGATCTTGAACACAAGCAATCTTCCTGCAAAGTACCATGCAAAATATACAGTCACTGGAATTCAGAACACCACTGCTGCACTCCCACTATATGAGAAGCTCCATCTTCAGCAGCAGGTGAGGTTTTGTCCGTACTACCTGACAGGCCTCATAAACCCATGATGTGAGCAGATGAGTCAGCACAACACTGTGCTTGAACAGTCACATGTCCTAACTGGAGATCAGGCAAAGAGTAAAGTAAACAACACCAAACAGAAAACATGGAAAGAACAAGTTTGTACTGGCAGGGAAACGAAGCAGGACTCATGCTTGTGATTTGCTCTATCTGGAGCTAACAGGATTCTCAATTTGTTTTTATAAACACCTACAAGGAGAATGCATTCTTCTACCTTACAAATGCTGTGTCTTCCTCACTTTCCCAGCCTTCCTGTCCACTAGAAGATGAAAGGGTTAAATTCTTGCTCACGACAGCAAGATTTAGGTTAACTGTTCTATAGGTTACTGAATGGCCTGAGAAAGTTAAAGATAAGTTAGGATGACAAAATCAGCCAGGGCCAAAGGTTCTTTTTTATCAGCTGGAATCCTTGAACAGGTAACACACAGAACAAAGTATGAGGCCTGCAGAAGAGAGAAAACACAGATCCCCAAGGAACATGGCTGATTTTCACACAGATGATGGGCCCTCACGGGCACCGAGGCAATAAACCCAACTATGCTCATGTGGACTGTGTGCCTGAAGTATTTTCATGCTCGGCATGTGATGCAAATACAACACTCCTGGGAAGCACCTTTACATGCACAGTTAGCCCCACAGATGCTAGAGGAAAAGCCATTTTACGTTGCCCTCTCATCATGCATAACAAGGTAGGCAGCTTGCCCAGCCAAAAAAGCAGCACGCCATTAGCACAGAAGTCCCATATAAGAAGCTTTGTAAAGTCCCTGATGCACCTACTATCCTTCTCCACCTAGCTTTGTAGCATGTAGGACTATCCCAGACAGTCCACTTCCTACCTTTGAAAGCGATCCCTGCATTGTTAACCAGCACGTTCAGCCCTCCATATTTCTCCTTTAGGAAGTCACGAAGAGCTCTGATGCTTTGCAGATCATCAATATCCAGCTGATGGAAAAGTGCACGCAACCCTTCCTCCTGGAGCTTTGCCACTGCTTCCTGGCCACGGCCAGGGTCTCGGGCTGTCAGGTACACGTCCCCTGGAAACTGCTTGCACAGAGCCTGCACAATTGCGAATCCGATCCCTTTGTTGGACCCGGTCACCACAGCCACTGGCACGCTGCACATTGTTGTCTCTGAACGTATGCCAAAGCAACAGTAACTGCAAACGGCAAAGAAGAAAACTTCACCCTCAGATGGACAAAGATGGCTATCTGAAAATGGATTAAAGTGTTTTTTTCTTTAAAATCCTATTTAGAATTCCACTTTGAATTATGTAAAACTACATTACAGTGCACATTAACTGTAACTTACTAAAGCAGCATGAGGTATTGGCAGAGAAATACACATTTGGTGTTAATGTTTTGAAGAAAGCCAAACCAGTGATTGAGTAAGAAAAAAAAGTCAATGACTAATCTTTAGCACTAAATTAACTTTTGATAGGAGTAAGCTGTTCTGCACATACACCTCCCAGGAATACCATTTCCTTCTTTTGAGGACATTCAACTGGTTCAGTTCAAGCACTGATGTGGTCAAAGTCGAAAAAGTCAGGCTCAAAAAGAGGGGTGGAGTGGTTTGATCTTCAAGTATCAGGCAGCAGAATCAATTCTAGCATTTTCAGAGGGAAACACTGGGCCATAGATTGACTACAGACAATGCTTCTTACGTTTAACACACCATTCAACTCTAAATACAAAGCCCGTTTGCCTTTTTTTTTTTCCACAAACATAGCACATTCAAAGAAGATGCATTTCCCCCCATAAAAGCAAGTTTAAAAAGCTGTTTCGCTCACTGTTAGCTTAATTGCCACCTCCTTTCCAAGTTATTTTGTAACTAACCACAAGCAGCTACCTAGCAAGGATGAAATCCTAACCAGCTCCTAAAGCCTGCCCAGCTCCTGACCGACTTCACCAGGGCCAGCAGCCACCCTCCGGCTCACCACCAAGGCCCCACCGCGCTCCAAACCTGCACGCTTCACTCACTACCACCGCCTCAGCACAGGTTTTTCTTCCTGACAG